TAACATAAGGAAAAGGCAGATAAAATTTCTGGGACACGTAATGAGAAAGGAGGATCTGAAGAATCTGATACTCACGGGTCGAATAAAGGAATAAAGAGACAAAGGAAAACAACACATGACATACGTGGCGGGCTTAAGCAAGTGGATGGTAGAACGTGGTCTGGGGGAGTTGACAGAGGCATGAATCTTAGTGAGAGCCACAAGGGATAGGGGGGAGTGGAGAGCCATGATCGCCTATGCCCTGAAAGGACACGGCACATAAAAAGAAAAGAAAGATTAAAACTGACCATTATCTGTGTTTTAAAATAAAGTGATTTCGGTAGATGAAAAGAATAAAAGAAGAAGGGTAAGATTTTTATTCTACTGTTGGTAAAGATAAATATTAACTACGGTTGCCAATGTTTTCGACTATAGTTTCTCAGTCATATCTATATCCGCACGTTTTACTAAAGGTTCTAATAAACATAGTGTATCGCTTAAAGAATATATCTCAGGGCGACTTCAAAACTGGTACCTCCCAAATTCCTATACATAACCAACACGACCTCACAAGAATACCAGAGAAGGGTACAAATTTAATCTTCATGTAAGAGTCATTTCTCTTATGCTTACTAAATTGTTATAACAAAGACCAAAAACAACGACTTTTTATTTCATGGCACTAAAGAATATCGTAATATAAAATCGGTGGGCCGAGTTCAAAATCCAGCCGTGCCTCCTACACGCATTTTCGCACAAATTCCTCAGAACAAAATCCTGAATCAGTCTCTTCCCCTCTTCCCTAGCTATGGATTAAATATCAGGGCAAACTGGCTTCTTTAGCCTTAGGTGATAATTAGTCTAAGAGAAAACCTTGAAAAGCAACGGTAAACTATTCAACTATCTTTCCCAAGAATGCATAACAGATCACATATAATAAAGAAAAATCGATTCGTGGAGAGCCGCAAGATTCCTACATCCTACAAGTCCATAAATAACCTTAACAGCATACAAGACGCAGATAACGTGTTGACGTAAAAGAAAAAAAAAACATGAAAGAACGTAAACAAGATCGGTATTAAACATGATAATAAAGGAAGCTAAAAAAGCAAGTATGGAAGACCCTCAAAATCAAGCAGGTGCTGAAATTTGCTTCGATATTTTAGTAACAGATGTTGAAAAATATGATACAGAATCCCAGAAGGCGCATAGAAATAGCGAAAGATACTTTTTGGGAAACTAAGTAAAATATTTCAACATAAGAAAATATATTTAGAAACAAAGAAACGAGTGCTGAACTACCATGTAATATTTAGTTTCTTATATGGCAGCAAATGTTGAACAATCTCCTCACAGGTAAAGAGGAAACTTGAAGTGACAGGTGTATCGTTATACGGACGAATGCTGAGAAGACCATGAACAGAATATGCGAACAACGAAGACATTTTAAGCAGAACAGGGACTAAAAAGAGACTCCCAATAGCAATCAGAAAGAAACAGCTGACATTTCTGAATCATACAATGAGGAAAGAAGACTTAGAAGATTTAACACTCACAAGGCACACTGAAAGCAAAAGAAACGAGGAAACATGTGTTCGAGTTAATGAATGGCAGAACAAAGTGAAGTATTCGAGTTAATGAATAGCAGACCAAAGTGAAGTATTCGAGTTAATGAAAGACAAAATAAAGTGAAGTGTTTGATTAAATGAATGGTAGAACAAAGTAAAGGGTTCGACGTAATGAATGGCAGAACAAAGTGAAGTATTCGAGTTAATGAAAGGCAGAATAAAGTAAAGGGTTCGACTTAATGAATGGCAGAACAAAGTGAAGTATTCGAGTTAATGAAAGGCAGAATAAAGTGAAGTGTTTGATTAAATGAATGGCAGAACAAAGTGAAGGGCTCGAGTTAATGAATGGCAGAGCAAAGAGACAAATAGGGTTAATATAGAGGCAACAGCAACTTAAAGCAAAAAAGAAAATAAATTTTGGAGATCCATAATCCACTTCCTGAAGGAATTTCATGTCTTCCAGGAAGTGAATTATGGATTTCTGAGATTCAGCGAGATCTTAGTTTATAATATGCGAGTAACGAGAAACATTTAAGGAAAATGTAAACGAAAAAAACGCTTTTTTTTTTTTAAAGCAATTCACCCCAATCAAGGCGGGATTGGCACTAACACGCAAGAGGTTACAGAGGATGGAGAACAAGAGTAAAGAGGCGTGTCTGGGGAAATACAGAGAAAGCCGGGGAACAAGATAAATGTATCAGAAGATGTCAATTGACATTACACTTACATATTTGAAGATTATAGTTATCAATAGGAAGGGACTTACACAGGCGGGAAGTGCGAGAGAAGAAACTGTTTGAGTAGAAGAGAGGGTTACAATTAACAGTTTCGACAGTGAAAGGGTGGGACCGAGATGCCAGCCTAGTAGCACGCTTAAACTCACGCAGTCAGGGAACCAGTGAAAATAGCTCGTCGGAACAGTTGTCGTGAAAATACTTGTAAAAGAGACAGAGATAAGCCACGGCATGTCGGTGAGAAAGCGACTGTAGATGTTTAGAATCAGAAACAGAGAGTTGAAATTTCTGGAATACATAAGGAGAAAAGAGGGCTTAGAGAATTTGAAACTAACAGGACATATTGAATGAACGCAGGAGGACCAGAGAGAAAAACAAGTAAATCACCTAACGAGCTTGTGTAAATGGGTGGCAGAACAAGGTTTGGATGGGATAGTAAAAAGACAAATATTAATAAGAGCTACAAAAGAGAGGAAGTTGTGGAGAGCCATGAGCATTGAAATTGTAGTAGATCTGTGTATATATGAACTTCACTAAAAGAACTGTGAGTTTATAAATAAAATGAATATGCTAATGAACATATTAATATATATGAATTTTACAAAAATAAATATATTGTGCCTAGATAAGGTGCATCCTCTACTAGGCCTTATGTTTTCAACTTCATTCAAGTGGAACAACTACCTGAATCAATAGCTGCATTTATTGCAAGGAAAGTTGGGTCATGGTGTCGTAGGTCGTCAGAGTGCATCTTGTACATTCACAAATCTATCATTCGTCTGTGCATTGAATATTGCTTCCATATCTGGTTTGTTGCTCCTTAAATGCAACGTCAACAATCACCATCTTCTCTTGTCTTGAACCCCGTTCGTCTTTTATCCTTTCCCCAATCCCCAGTCTTTTCTCTCACTTTCACTCACTGTAACCCCCTGCGTACTAGTGACAATTCCGCCATGCTTGGGCTAAAATGATTAAAATATATATATATATATATATATATATATATATATATACTAATAAAATGAATGTACTAATATTGAGGAAATAATAATAATAATAATAATAATAAGAAGAAGAAGAAGAAGAAGAAGAAGAAGAAGAAGAAGAAGAAGAAAGGCAAGGCAAAGCATCAATTCTTAATTAATTGGAGTTTTTAACATAAGATAAACTACATCTGGCAGCAACGCCTCTAATTGAAGATTCGAGTTTTTGAGGAGCGTGGGGCAACCTCTTAAAAGCTGTTAATCTCAGGTTCACCCTGAACCGGGGTGGTAGCACCTGTTAGAGTCCCAGCTATGAGAAAATAGTGAACCCCAAAGAGAAAAAAAAAAAAAAAAACGCTATGAAAGTATAAAATTAGATTTTTATATTAAAAAAAAACAAACAGCAATACATTTTTATATAAATTTCTTCCGACAACACCTAAATTACCAACAATAATTTATATTTGCAGTTGAAGGCATACAAAAGCGTTCAAAATATTCAGATTTAGGTATTAAATAACCCATAGAGGTCGATATACTAATAAACCAAACCAAACGATCAAACATATAAGAACTCTTTCATGGCATTAATCCACATAATATCCTACAATTTCTTAAATCAAACTGCATTCCAAAATATGCCTACAACATAAGAAACACATCATGGCCTCTAGTAACAATGCTGATTGAAATATGTGTATGCACAATGTATTCAATTGTGAAAGCAGAATATCACATATTTTTATCAACTTCAAAGCTTCCAAGGAAATTAAATTTCGGCATTAAATGACTCATAAGTTGTTGATATGCTGTTAAACCAGCAAACAACATTGTTAACATAAACATGTTTTCTCTTGGGCAATTAAGATGTACTAAAATACGTATCCGTTCAGTACCACACATTTGCTTGTCATTTGCCTAACGGTAACCAGGCGGGCGTACCCCGTATGAGTTGACATACCATGTATCTCCGTTTATGGGCGTGAGTAGCGATGGAGCATCATGGCCGGGTATCGAGAGGGTGCCATTTTTTTAAAGTTTCAAGTATGATACAACCGAGGTGACTTGTAAGTCACATCTAGGTACTTGGGATGGGAATACTCTCACTCGGAGATCGTCTGAACAGACTTGTTGTTTGGTTCGTTTTGCAGGTTATTTAAAGCCAGAAAATATTTTAGATTGTAACATTTTTTTTTAGATGATATGGTTTGCAAATCTTAATAATTGACCCATAGTTGGAGAGAGACGAGGTGGATTCATACCCCTTTCCCAGGTGTATTTGCGCATAAGTAATATAACGAACCCAACTGAAATTCGAACTCTGCTTTCTGATTACACCACCAGCACATCTAAGCTTATAGTGCCTGGTTTTCGCAAGTGGTCACCCATCTGGGTACTGACCATGCTCGACGTTGCTTAACTTTGGTGATCGTACGAGAACCGGTGTTTCAACGTGATATATCCAAGCTAAAGGTATTTCTAATTGGGACTCTCTTGCCAGATTACATGCTGCTTTCATCAAAACTTGCCACTATATCGCATGCATTTGGCTGTGATGCACGTGTCTGGTATACCTTTGTGAGACTGGGTATCATTTTGTTGCTATATTGCTCTCTCATTCAAAAATATTACTACTACTAATAATAAGAAACGTTTTTCTTATTTTCATGTTTATTAATATTCCAACCAACTAGAATTTCTTAATCCGAGCAGATATCTTTCATACCACACAATCTTACTGCATCTGGTATCCCCAAGCAGTCACCCATCTAGGTACTGACCAGGCTCGGCGATGCTTAACTTCGGTGATTCTACGAGAACCGGTATTTCAACGTTATATGGCTGAACGCCTGAGTGGACTGGGTTATCCAATCTAAAGGTATTTCTAATTGGGAATCTCTTGCAAGGTTACGTGCTGCTCTTATCAAAACCTGTTACTATATCGCATACATTTGGCTGTGATGCATGTGTCTAGTATACTCTTATGAGACTGTGTAACATTTTGTTGGTATATTGCTCTCTCATTCAAAAATACTACTTCTACCACCACAACAACCGCTAATACTACTACTACTAATAATAATAATTACTACTACTACTAATAATAATAATAATTACTACTACTACTACTACTAATAATAATAATAATAACTACTACTACTACTACTAATAATAATAACTACTACTACTAATAATAATAATAATACTTGCAAAAAACATTATCAACGCTTGTAAATAATCCCAATAAAATCCCGGAATGGATTACTGAAGTTATTACACACCTCATACCAAAAACAACTGAAACAGACGACCCGAAAAATTATAGACCGATAACATGTCTCTCCACAACGTATAAGTTGATCACGTCTGTACTGACGAACCGTACTTGTTCCTTTCTCGAAACAAACAGCATTCTCCCGCTGGAACAGAAGGGATGTAGAAGAGGTTCATATGGCTGCAAAGATCAACTTCTGATAAATAAAATGATCCTAGAAAATTGCAGGAGACGACGCAGGAATCTAAGTGCAGCGTGGATTGATTATCGTAAAGCCTTTGATAGCGTTCCACATTCTTGGATCCTTAAGACTTTGTAAACGTACAGAGTCTCCCCTGTGGTAATAAATTTCCTTAAGCACAGCATGGAAATGTGGAACACCAAACTATACCTTAGTCACACCGGGGGCACTGCCATATCCAACCGTCTGAATATCCGACGTGGAATCTTTCAAGGAGACTCTCTGTCACCCCTTCTGTTTTGTTTATCCTTAATCCCTCTTACACATGAACTGAACAACAGTAGCTATGGTTACAAAATAAATAAGAAAATATTCAATCACCTACTCTACATGTATGATCTCAAACTCTTTGCCAAAGACGACAATGATTTGAAAGGCCAACTCAATATTGTAAAATACTTCAGTGACGACATAGGTATGGACTTCGGATTAGATAAATGTGCAAAAGTAACTTTTAAGAAAGGTAGAATTACAGAAACACCCTTAATAGATTTAGATTTTGTCACAAAGATTAGGGAACTGGAGCATGATGAAGCTTATAAGTACCTAGGAATTAGCGAAGGAGATGGCATACAACACCCCCAAATGAAGGAAAAATAAGAAAAGAGTACTACAAGGCGTGTACGTCTGGTACAAAATACTGAGATAAACTCAAAAAACAGGATATCAGCCATAAACACATTGGCTGTCCCTGTGGTGCAATACAGCTTTAATGTCCTTAACTGGACCATAGCTGAAATTAAGCGAATGGACGCAAAAACGAGAAAGCTTCTCACTTGCTATCGCATGCATCATCCCAAAGCTGATGTTGATCGTCTGTATGTGCCCAGATCCGAAGGAGGCAGAGGATTAGTTCAACTAGAACTGTCCTACAAAACTACAACAATTGGCCTCCAAAGATATTTGGAAACTACAGAAGACTGGATGATGGTATGCGCCAAGGAACATGAAAGTAGTAAGCGTCTTTACTCCGTAATGAAAGAAGCCAACAAATTCAAAATGGAGTTTCAAATGGGCGTAGAGATGTAACTACAGCACAATACACCGGCTGAAACTGCAAAATACCTAAAAAAGACAGCAAAGACGAATGTAACCGACCAGATACAGAAGCGATGGCAAGATAAACCGCTTCATGGCCAATACTCTGCCCGTACCAAACAAGCTGACGTAGACAAAACCCGTTCCCATCAGTGGCTACGTAGTGCAGGGTTGAAAGCGGAAACTGAAGGTTTTATCCTTGCTGCGCAGGACCAATGCTTGCTAATTAGGAATTATCAAGCGCATATACTAAAATATTGTGTCAGCCCAAAATGCAGATTCTGTGATAAGTATCCAGAAACGATTGATCATCTTGTATCAGGTTGCACGGTGTTGGCACCCACTGAATATAAAACCCTACATGACAGAGTGGGCCAATATCTGCACTGGAAAATCTGCAACTTCTACGGAAGGAAACTGAAAAAAAATGAAATGAAAAAGAAAGACCGGTTACAATTCTATGGGACTACACAATACACACTGACAGAACAATCAAGGCCAATCGGCCAGATACTGTTATTAAAGACCACAAGCAAAAACGGTGCCTCATTGACATGGCAGTCCCTGCTGACTGCAATGTATCTTTGAAGATATTCAAAAAGCTGTCAAAATACAAGGACCTTGAAATAGAAATCTTGAAAATGTGGCATATGGGAACATCAACAATCCCTGTTGTAGTTGGAGCCCTAGGACTGGTTGGAAAAGATTGCAGTAGACTAATTGAAGGGATTCCTGGAAGCCCATGCCTCAAGGAGATACAAAAAATTGTTCTGACAAGTACGGCCCACACCTTACGAAGGGCTTTATCTATGTAATTTAATTTTTTTTTTTTTGTCAGTGGAAAGTGTCATGACGCCATTTCTAACCTTAGGTCCCTGGGCGGGACCCGGAAAGAAATGTGTAAACGCCAGAAATCAAAGAAAATAAAAATGATAATAATAATTATAAGAAGAAGAAGAAGAAGAAGAAATATTTTTGCTATAGTTTTCATGCCTATTAATTTTCCAACCAAACGGTATTATCACTGGAGGTTGATAGTAAGTCTTCCCAATACTCTAGCGCCCCTGACGGTATTTTCGTTTTTTTTTTTTTTAGCGATCTTATAATTTGGATTGTCTTGATACGTCCTTTAAGATTTAAGTTCCCCACAAGTTTTTGCTAAATTATTTGGGAATAACGATGAACGGTTACCTTGATATTTCATTCATTCTTTTAGATCTTTCTATATTAAATGCGGGTGTTCACCAGAGCTCTAACCATCAACCTACTTTATTTCTAATTTTCATCAACGATCTTACCGATGTCATTCGTTCAAGACTCAGTACTTATACTGATGACACAGCTATGTACTCCCGTTTTAATGGTAAGTCCAGTGCCTGATTTACTTAGCAGGCTGAAGCCTAGGGCTTCAAAATCTATGGGACCTCCACCCAAGATGTATAATATCGTAGTCCTTTCTTACACATACTGGCATAATGCATTGTAGACTCTAAACAACCTTTCAGTAATTTGTTTAAAATGACTAAAGGGTTATTTAGAGTCTAGCCGTCATCATCCTCGGCTTTAGTCAAATTGTTTAATTTGACACTCTTCTATTTTTCCCTACTCGTGGGAATGGGGAATTTAGAGGAGTCTCACATTTAGAATAGCCTAAGGCCGCTCTTAATCTAAATCCGGCCCTGTGTAAGTCTGATAAGTTCGACAAATTCAAATTGACAGCTGATCTCGAAAATAAAGTCCAATGTGCTGTTAAGTGCGGCAAGAAATGGCTTGTTAATGTTTTTTTAACGCCTCCAAAATGAAACTGCTCTCCTTTAATTGTGTCTTCTCGGGTTAACGATTCCCAATAACATGAAGTTGAACGATTATATTGAAACAATTGCTCCGAGGAAATTTGGTTCGCATTGTCGTGCTAGAAAATTTCTCTGGTCAGAATCCATCTTGCACATTTATAAAAAATCATTTTTCCAGGCATTGAATATTGCAGCTGCATCTAGTCTGTTTCTTCTTCTACCTATCTAGAGATTCTTGACGTGATCCAAAGAAGAATCTGCAATAACATTGGCCCTGACTTGGCATTTTTCCACCGCCGTAACTTAGTTTCTTTGTGACTTTTCTATAAATACTTTCATAGTAATTGTTCTCTTTGGTACCTCGACTTGAGGAATTTAAGCGTAGTACTAGATTGGCTGTTAGGTCTCATAATTTTACTCTTGGAATTGCTAGATACATTTGTAAGCTCTAGGCTAATCTACACTTCTAACTTATCTACACTTCTAATATGCACCAGCTTGTGGAACTCTCTTCCGGCTTCTTGCTTTTCTGTCAATTACGATCTTCAAAAATTGAAATGCAACGTCAATCGTCATCTTCTGACTCTTTCAATTCCTAGTATTATAATGTCCTCCTCATCTCAAGGTTTTCTCAATTTCTCTCATGTTCAGTAACTCCTTTTATCTTACTGAACTTATCTACTTACCTTGGATGTGAATGATTAAAAAAGTTATGGGAATTACAATTGCGTTGTAGTTTTTCTTAATCAACCTTTAGCAACTAAAGATACTTTTATTCTTTATCATTTTTAAATTTTCTTTTAATAATAACTATAGTAGCAAGTTAATAGCGAAAGTGACAGACATCAAATGATTATTTTCTTCATAGTTTTCAGTTAATTCTCTCACTTCAGTTGAGAGCATATTTTCATAGTTCGGAATCTGAAATTGAATAATTATGACCAGGTCTTAATCAGAGTACAAAAATAAATTGGATTTAAATTAAACTACCAAACAATCGATTTAATAATGAAGAAAATGCAATATATCTATGTACAATAAATACCAGATGAGTGTTTAATATGGATCAAGATTTTCTTCCCAAATGTTCTGATTTAGATTACTTTTAATCGTGCTATATTGAACTTTTTTTTCCAGAATTAAGACATTAATGTTGTCTTTATAAATTTGAAGTCATTACGATAACTAAAGTTTTCAATTTTTCGTTCAAAATATTTGTCTTTATAAAATGTGTGCATGTTTTGTAATTAAAAGTATTAAATACAACGTAATGTTTCTTGAAGTTACAGCAATAATATACATTTCGAAAAACATGTGCAGTTGATAAAACTGCTGCTACATCGTAATAGTCGCAACTGCTATAATTTATATAAGTATTATGGGAAATATAATTCTCATATATATATATATATATATATATATATAGAGAGAGAGAGAGAGAGAGAGAAAGAGAGAGAGAGGGGGGGCATCTAACAAGTCCAGCTTCAAGTTGTAGA